ATTGTTGGGAGCTTTAAATTTTGATGTTGTAGTTTGAGGAGGTGGAGTGTGCATTTGTAGGGAGGGTGCATTGATGTTGGAGATTGAAATGTGGAGTATGCATTTTTTTTTGTTGATTTTGTTATGAATGTGCATTTGTATTGAATCTATGTTTGAGGTTTTGCTTTGATGCTATAGTTTGAAAGGTTGAGTATGCATTGATCTTGGAGATTGTAGAGTATTGAATCTACTTGGAAGTTTGAGACTTTGATGTTGTAGTACGGGGTGGAGTGTGTGGGGACGATATATTGATTTTGTTATAAATGTGCATTTGTATTGAATCTATGTTTGGGTTTATGACTTTGGTGAAGTTTTAAATTGTGGGTGTTTTTACTTGAATTATTGTTGGGAGCTTGAAACTTTGATGTTATAGTTTAAGGAGGTGGAGCATTTGTAGGAGGGTGCATTGATGTGGGAGATTGATGTATTGATTTTGTTATGAATGTATATTGTTAGAGATTTAATTGTTAAATAATTATACGATTGTTGGTTTAAATTTGATGTTGGAGATTTAACTGTTGAATACCTATAATTATGTCGTTGGAACTTTGAATATTAAAGATAGATTTCCTATTGTTAGTGTTTTTTTTTATGAAGGATTGTATTTTTAGTTTGCTAATAATGTTGCTTAAATGCAACTATTTGTGTAGGATTGAAAACATGATCTTCTGTTGATCGTGATGCTTGAAGATCTGAAAAAAATATGTAACGATGATCTATATTACGTATGTTTTTCTTATAGTGAATATGTACATTTCTTATTTATGTTGTCACATTGTACACATTGTCTTTAATTTTGAAATTTAATACGATTTTATTTCACTTTAACACATTGTCTTTAAAATTGTAGAGTACATAGAAAAGTTGGAGGTTTTATTTTGCTAGCGAGGAAATACTGAAAGCGTCGCTATATTTAGCGACAAAACATTTTCGCCACAAAACCAAACCAGCGATGATAACTGGACGATTTCTATTGCTTCAAGCGATGAAAACGTCATTTTCGTCACTGTAGAGACGAAAAGTACTTCGTCGCTGCAGGGACGAAATGTTCTTCGTCGCTGCAAGGACGAAAGCAATTTCATCGCTGCAGTGACGAAAAACATTTTCGTCGCCACAGTGACGAAAATTTTTTTGTCCCTGCAGCGACGAAAAAAAGCACGTCATCGCAGTGACGAAAACAACCTTTTCGTCGCAAAACGTTGTGACGCGCGCATTTTCGTTGCTGACGTCCAGTAGCGACATTTATTCAGCGACAATACGCGCGATGTTTTACTTTTTGTCGCTGAACGTGTTTGGCGATGAAAATACTGCTTCAGCGACGAAATATTTTCGTCGCCGAGTGTCATTTTTTTTTTTTTTGTAGTGTTTTAAAATTTTCTATTCTAAATTAAGAGTTTTTTTTTAATTAAGGAATAAAATTATTAAAAAAATGTTAAAGAAAAAAAATATTCAAACATCAAATCTACATTACCTAAAAATATATTTTATAAATAAAAAAAATCACTTACCTCGAAAAATCAAATTAACTTCAAAAACTGAAAACAAAAAAGAAAATGGTTACATAACAAGACTTACAACATTCCGTAAATTTTTTGCGTTCGAAGTTTTTATCCATATCTCTTCTGTCTTGATCTTTAAACTTATTAAAGTTTATCTGGTGAGATTGAACCACATCAATCTAGGCCGTGTAGAAAGACCTTATATTTTTACATAAACATGATACTCTAATATTGTTACCTATTTATTTTAGTTTTTAATTATAAATAAAATTTAAAATATAAATCATACTTTTCATATTCTTTTTTCTAATAATGTTGAAAAAATTCCATAAATATATTAGGTAGGTTAGACTAATTTTAACTTTGTAACGCCCCCGAATTTTGGGTAACTCACACGAGGAATGTTACTAAACTTATTTGTTTTACACTTTATCCCAAGGCATAAAGGCCACTAATCGAACTTAAATATGTTAGCTTTTTATTTGCTAATTCAGCCTGTTATTTGCTCAATTTAAACATGTGAACACTACACTTAACAAATGAACGAAACAACTAGTCCTTCATGGGCAAAATACACATAACTCCTCTATTTAAGCCCAAACAAAGCTAACTCGAGTAAACGACGATAGACCAACAACATACTCGACAAAAGCATAACCCTGCAGGACGATAACAAATCAACTAAGCAAATAAATCCACCACGCTACCACTACGCCACTCTGATAATAACACCAAAACAAAATAGTTAATCCATTCTTCAACCTTTCCAAGTGAACAAATCGCCTAACGTTAAACGTACTCCCTAAGCTTCTCAACAGAACCAAAAGCCCAATCTTTATAAGAGTTGAGACTTAAAAGAAAAGTCTTCTACAACATTCTAATAACTCCCTAAACTTTACACAAATCAATGCTCAAACAGATGACATAAACTAAATCAACAAGAACTCGTAACAACCTATTCTAAACAAGTTAAAACTAAACGGAAACTAGTTATGGTCATTCTTCTCGAGTCTCCACCGCACCATCACCACGAACCTGATCTTCACCTAAAAACAATAATTGTAGAGGGAGGTGAGTATTAAGAATACTCCGTAAGTAGCCCTCTCTAACCACACACAAGCAACATGCTCAGCACACGATATTCATTACGAAACATTACTCTAACATTCATGCATCAATAAATCATAACACTCATTAATCCACACATTCCAATCCAAGTAACCCCAACCACATACGCCCGCTAGTAGCCCTCATTAAGTATACACAAATCAACATGCTCGTATCACATCAATCATCAAAATGCGGTAACTAGAAATCATGCATCGCTAGGTCATAACAATTAGTCAATACACACACAGCATCGAAAATATCAAGACTCTCGAAACTTCGTCCTCAAGTCCCACCGGTCTCTAACTCCTTCAAGCTACTTCTTCCCATCCCACTATGTTAGTCCTCCAAGTCTAACTCTTCGAATCATATCGGCCCTTGACATTTATCCCCAAGGTCCCAACACTCATTTACAGAAGCTTGGCATTCAACCTTGTCATTTATCCCCAAGGCCTTGAACTACGATTTCTAACACATCACAC